TGTTAGACTAGACTATAGGAGGGAAAGAGTGGAAGGCATTAGGAGGCTGTTTGACCATTAGAAGGCTGCTATATTATCCAGACCAGAGGTGATAACTTGGATTAAGGTAGTAGCAGTGGAGGTGGTGAGAAGTTGTTGGATTGCAGCCCTTCACTTGGAAGACAGTTTATCTTCATTATTTTTTCAAATATTTCTTTCTTTTTCCAAGAAATTATCCTCCTTCTAGGACTTTATTATGCAGATATAAGCATATCTATATCTGTCCTACCATGTAACTATTATATTTTCATTTTTTGTCCTTTTCTACTATTCTATGAGATAATTTCTTAATCTAGTCTTCTAACTCATTAGTTCATTCTTTAACCATATCCATTCATTTACTTATTCTATTTGCTTTTTGTGTTTTTTATTTTACCAATTATATTTTACATCCTAAACATTGTTGCCTTTATCTACTGTCACCTTATTGCCCATCTCCATCCTTTGTTTTATATTTTTCTTTAGCAATCATCATCATTTAATGTACTAGATACTTTTTCTTATTTTTCTCACTTATTGTCTGTCTACCCCTAGAATAGAATATAAATTCCATGAGGGCTGGGATTTTTGTTTTTGTTTTTTCATTGCTCTATCCCCTGAACTTACCATAGTACCTGAAATATAGTAAGAGTTCAGTGGTTTTTGAATGAGTGAATTGATAGAGTAGATGGCATAGATAATCTTGCACTTGAGAGAGGAGGGACATGGCATTTTCATTAAGGGAATTTATGCTACCTCTAGTTTTAGAGAAGTATATGATTTATTTATTGGGCTGCCCTAGTGACTGTTATTATACCATGTGCTTAGCCTTGGGCAAGGTCACCTTTGGAATCTGACTTTTAAGTGTTGTTCAAATATACCCATGTCTGAGAAGGGAAATATAAAGATGATAAGTGGGAAATGTCAAGTGGAAAGTATAGTCAAAGATGTGATAGTCTCAAGTAGTCTGTTTGACAAGCCTTAAGATTATATAATTGTATCTGGGGCTTAATCATTTTCTGAAATAGAAACTGAGAGTTATTTAGTCTCTGAACTGGGTGCCATTTAGGCAAACTGGATGGAAATCACCTCTTTTATTGAGTCTTCCTTCTTTCGCTGATTATTTTTTTGCATTTAATAGCTTCCATGTTATTTTTTAAAACAATTACAATTTCACTTTTCTCTTTGCTTTGGCTTTAACAAGACTTCGTTGGGGGAAGGGTGGGGAAGAACTACTAACAAGGATGGCTTCTTTTCTTTTGGAAGACTTCTTACACTGTAAAGTCTTTTTGTCCTGATTTCCCATCCCAACTTCTGTTATAGAGGAGACATTCTTTTAGAATATCTTTACAAAATTTGAGGGCTGCAGAACAACACTTTGCTTTTAAGACAGCTTATGTTGTGCTAACATATCTGTTTCATTTGCATACACACACATAAAGGAGCACACAGATATGTATAAATCTGCATCTGTGTACACTTAACTTAAAAACAGACTTTTATAATGCTGTTTACCCAAAAGTTAAAGGAAGGTGTGCCTCTCCTTATATGTGTGTTTGTTGTTGTTGTTGCATTATCTCCATTTCTTACTGATTTCTGGTTTGTTTTCCTCCGCCTTTGCAGTCCTAAAGATTGATGCCATTTTGGGGTCTAATTACCCAACCTGTTCTCAGTTACATTTTCAATGTATTTTTTCTGAAACGCCTGCAGCTTATGGCACTGCCCCAAATTGCTTGTTCTGCTGAGGTCCTTGCTCAGCACATCTTTCCGCAATCATGTCACCTTCGATGAAGTCTCACTTTCCGTACAGTCTTTTTTATTTGCATTTACATATGTCAGCCAAATCCTGTCCTTTTGCACTTGGCATTTTAATTAAGGTTTCTTTACCATGAAGTTACTGTAATTTATAAGGAATTGGTCAAAAAATGGAAAGAAGAAATCAATAGGAAGACATTTTAATGTATCATCTAATTATTTTTCCTTTTTCAACTCTTCCGTATTAAAGTGCGTACATAATGTTTTTCAATCTAAAAGTGTTATTTTATTTCATAGTAATTGGGTCTTCCCAGGGTGTATTTCTTAATTAAATGATACATTTAAAATTTATTTTATTAAGAAATGGTGGTAGTAATGCAAAAGCTGAATTCCCATCTCCCCAAAGGGACAGTTAAATAAATCCTTAGGTATGTAGCATATACAGTATTTAAGAATATTGGCAAAAAAATTACATGAACTAGAAAAACATAGCCTTGAGTGTAAGTTTAGCTTCTAGTTTCTGGAAGGTGTTGTTTGATCCCATTTAGCATGGGGGAAAATGGTGCAGGCAAGATATGTTACGAATAGGAGCTGGGAAGTGTTTAGAGGACTTGCTCGGAAAATGATATATCAAGCGAATAAATATATGTAAAGTTATAGAAAAATTCAATAGCAAAATCAACAAGCTTGTGTATGTACTTGGTGTATATAAATTCTGTCTTGCTGATAGCACAATTCCTATTATGTCATGGTGTAAGTAGTACAGTGCCTGGCATCAAGTCCACATGGACTCTGTCAACTAACTAGTCAATCGATTGATGATTCTATGTCTCATCAGTGAAGGACATAGCAGTTTGGTGGTGTTTCATGTTCTGCCTCTGTCTTGTGTTTAAGCATCTCATTACTGTGTCATAAGGACCCAAGGAAGCAAGTTAAAAAATATATAGTAAATGAATACTTTTGAGGAATAGTTCAAGGGGAAGTATTTACAAATTTGTAAAACTTATTTCTAAGACATGGAGAATATTTGCATACATCACTGCTTTTAATGTGATCAGTTTAGGTTATTTAATTCACTTGGCTTTCTCTTTGAGAGCAATTCAAGAATAACTGGCATTGACCCTGATTTTATTTATACTTGATGCCATGATTAATAGCACAAAATAGTTCACTTTCTTTTCTCTGTCAGAATATTTTTGATAAATGGGTTGCCTTGATCATATGATATGAACCTTACTCCTCAATTTTCTCAGTCATAATGCTACCTCTGAACAAAATTGAGATTTATTGGTGACCCTCCAATCAGGTGAATAGAGCAATAAAATAAAGATGACCAATATAAATAAAAAAAAAATAGGACAAACTTTTCTTTGATGCATTTCTTTCCAAATATGGGGGAAATTTCTTGATATTCTGTTAGTGGCTTTGTAATGAATTTTCCACTCAGTAAAAGAATTAATCATAAAACATGTTTGAATTATTTTTCTTCACTGAGGAGTGTGCTATTTTGCACATTAGAATGGGGAGCAATGCAAAAGGAATAGATAGGATCACTGGCTTTTGTCTTTTGCTACTTTCTTGACAAGGCAGATTGCTCTAATAATACAAAGGTGCTTGGAACCTGAAGTAGGCCACTGTGCAGGGTATAGACCCATGTGGGCAGCCTCAGGAGTGAGTTACCAGGAAGGTTTTGTCAAATCCTTTAAATCTGAGCACAGGCCAATGGTGTAGCTATTAGTGCAGGATGACCTGATTGTTAGCTGGGCTTCTCCTGTGAAGACTTTGTGAAGACACTGAAAAGAGAAAATGCTTAATATGGAGAAGTATCTAGACTGGGTGATTTAGGGTGTAAACCTCTGTCTTTCACATAAATGTTGGGTTAGGTGCAAGAGATAATGTGAACAGTGAGACTTTTTCTTCTGGTAATATTCTTTCCATTTCTGTAAGCAGAAACAACAACTCCTTGGCTCCCTCTGCAGGCCAGAGCCCTTGAGGTGTAAGAGGGCTTTAATGTCTCTGTACCTAGCACACTGTACTTATAGGAAAGTGGTACTTTAAGTGCTTATCTGAAATATATTTGTGCCAAATGGAATAATGAGCAAATATATCTATTTACTTCTACTTACATTGTTAAAAAATGAATTTTTCTGCATGAATGTTTTTTCTAGACATCTGGAAATGCCACTCACTGAAGATCCTTATGTTTTCTTTAATATTTGTTAATGACAACTTACGACAAAGCTTTCTACCATTCTTGCCTTCTAAAAGTTGGAAATGAACAGATCTTGAGCCTTTCTCCATGTTTCAGTGTGTTATAATCCAGGCCTGGGTGATGGCAGGATGGGATGGCCAGAGGTCTAAGGTTAGACAGACCCCTGGCAGTAGAATGAGTATTGTTGCTAGTAGTGGGAGAAGATTGGGCAAGGGGACAATGGGAATCAGTGATGAGCCACAGTAAACAGCCTGCTAATGATACAGAAGCCACATCCAGCTAACCTGGCAGGAAGCAGTAGTTTGAAATCCAGGTAGATGAGACTGTGGCAGCAGGGAGTTCTGGCCAGAAAGAATAGAAATTCGGTCACAGAGAGAGATCAAACACCCAGGAAAACTGGAGAATGAGGCAGGGTCTCAGAGGATCTGGATCCCTAACACAGGCCAAGTGGAACGTAAGACTAAATCCCCATGGAAAGCTAAGAATGGAACCAAAAAATTAGGTTGGCTTCTCAAATCTCCATTATGCAAGTTTAGGATTAACAAAATGAAATCTTCCACTTTAGAATTTGGAAGATATTGAAGCTACAGGCAATAGTTTAGGATCTGAAGCAGCAAAGGGTTAGAGTTGATAAGCCAGTCACTCCATGGATGAACTACATGAACTTCCTCATTCTATGGGGATACAAACCTGTTTCCAGAGGCTACTTCCTCCCTGCCTTGTTCTTTCCCTCCCTCCCAACCCCCCTTTCTTTCTTTCTTTCTTTCTTTCTTTCACCTATCTATTCATTTATCTATCATCTCTATCATCTGGCTGTCTGTAAAGTATTAGCTATGTTTCACTGCTCTCAGAGTTCCATACTTTTTTTTTTTTTTTTAATTTGACCCCATGTTTAGTTTCTGGGAGAGTCTTCTCTCACATCTCTCATTGTCACCTGTCACTTATCCCTGAGCAGTTGTATCTGTTTTGAGGTGTTCTCTCCTGCTTTCTCATTTGTGTCTTCTATTTGTTGTAGGTAGGAAAACCAGATGACCAAGCTCTGTTGACCTGTTAACAGTAGACACTTTGGAAAAATAGTTCAGTGGCTTTTCACATATCCAGAGACCTCTTAATCTGGAAGATGCAACAAGGACAACGTTATTCTTTTAACTCTGCAGGAAAATTCTCTTCGATGCAAAAAAGAATCTCAGAAAGATCATGCCACAGATCTCCTGTATTTCATTTATAGGTGAGTCTCTCAGTCATCTATCCAGATTTTATTAGTATTTACACTTTACTGTTCAAAGATATTCCTTTGATTCAAGAACAAATCCACGCCTTGATGTAACTCAGAATTGGTACAGGGAGAAAGAGGCAATTACTCCAACCTAAATATTTTATAAAGAAAATTCCTTCCTTTGTGTTTAATATGTAGCCTAATACTAAACACATTACATCATTTATTTACATAAGTTTTTCTTTCAATCGGCATTGGATGTTATTTTGAGGTTTGGAATGATAACACAAAGTTATCCAAAAAGGCATTCTTTGTTGCTTATATCCTTCAAGTCTTTATGTTCTAGCCAAAAAGAAACAGACAAAAATAACAGTGGTAATGATGATTAACAGGAGTAGAAATAGGAGCACAGGGAGGTGTACAATTAAGCAGTTGAAACTATACTATCTACAGGTTTACGTCTTTCCAGTTATTTTATTGACTTTCCCATCTGTTCCAGTTTTTCTCACTTCTGTTGTCCACTTTGCTCTTTGTCATTTTCTCCTTCCTTGTGTTTTTGTATTTTTTATTTCTAATTTTCTCTTCAAATAATGCATTTCCTTTAAATGTACTTTGTCATTATTTTATCTTACCCCATTCTACCTCTTTTATATTCCATTTTAGTTGCTTTTTGATTGTATCTTTTCAAAAACTGCATCAAGGATCAAATAAAACAAAACTCAGCAGTAATTCAAAACTGGAAATATTATATTAAAACTGCTAGCCTCAAGGAGATATTTTACATAAATATGTGTTGCAACTTGACCTCAATGTCAGGCAGCTGGGCATTTTGCCTGGCTGAGGGAGGCAGAGATTTGGAGGATGGGAAGGTTTTATGGCTTTTTTCATCTGTAGTCATATCCTTGTGTTCTTTTAGCTCAGAGGTAGCAATGGGAAAGGAGATACCAGACCATTAAGAGTGGGCTGATGAAATTGTTGGAAGTTTGGTGAGTTTTAAAATATGTACTTATCTGTAGCCAGCAAATTAACTCCTGTAAGTGATACTACTTACTACCTTTAACAATTAACATTCAGTTATAGACATGTTTAAATCCCCAGCATATCAGTCCTGCTTGTATTTATAACTACCCTCATGCTGTTAGTCAAACCTAAGATTTCTTTTGTGGATCAGAAAAGATCTTTAGTACAAAACATGTTTAAATTACTAAGTAGACTTGGATTGCAGAAAAAGTGCTAGGAGAGTATTTCAAATGACTAAAATAGGTTTTAAAAAAAGACTAGAATTAGTGACTAAAATAATTTCCTTCATGTCCTCAATAGGAAGAGATTACTACCTCATCTGTCCAGAATGACCATTCAAAAAATATCAGATATGCCGCTGACAAAAGTGTCAGCAGCAGTGGCCCCAACCACCTCCTACGCATTCTCACGCTCATCCTGGACACTCCCTTGCTTTCCTGTCTTCACAGCACATACCACTCTGAAAAGAAAACAAAAGGTGCTGCCTGTGATGAAGGTATGATATACATGTAAAGAAGGCAATGGTAATGCTGTTCTTTCCTTCCTGGGCTTAGAAAGTAGGTTATATAAAGACTTGCTTCTCAAGTTGACATTAAAAATGTGTAAATCAAGTGGCAACAGATCCTGTATTCCTTCTGGCATTGAGAATGTATGTGAACCTTAGCAAAATCTTTTATCTATTAAAATGAGGTAACTGTAACAGATGATTGCAAAAGTTCCTTTTAAAGGTAACCTTCTGTGATTCAGATGCAACAGATAGAATAGCCAAATTAGAAGATAAAGGATTGTTATCTTATTTATTTATTTGTTTATTTATTTATTAGAAAGAGAGAGAAGAAAGAGAGGGTGGGAAGGAACGGATGGGGAGGGAGAAAGAATCTTAAGCAGGTTTCACACCCATCATGGAGCCTGAGGCGGGGCAGATCTCATGACCCTGAGATCATCATGACCTGAGCCAAAATCAAGAGTCAGAGGCTCAACCAACTGAGCCACCCAGGCACCCCAGTTGTTATCTCCTTTAAAAAAATTTTTTTGAATCCTTTTTAAAAGTAAACTAGTATAGTTCCACATCCTGAATGGTGGCATTAGGAACCCTGTGGATCTGTCCCCAGGAAAACAACTATAATTGGTAAAAATTATAAAAGACAACCAGTTAAAATCTCTCAAAATTGTCCTAAGCAAATACAGCAAATGAAGAAACATTTATTTGAAAAAAATGTACCAAATCTTAGGAAGAAGAGTGTCTGTGGCACTTGAGCCATGATGTACTGCTTCTCTGCTCACCCCCCTCCAGGTGGGTGTGACCAAATAGATGAGGCTTCAGGTGTTCTCAGCTCCAACTAAGGGACATAGTATCTCACCTGGAGGAGCAGGTCACCAGCATTTCTCATTACCTCTGACACCAAGTTGAAGAGGCAAAATTCTGAAAAAATGTAACCAAGAGGCTACGGGCTCTTTTCTCCCTATGCATGGAATGAAGGCTCTGCCCCAAGTGTGGCAGGCCCAGAATACTGGGACTCTGATTGCCCTCAGCCCAGATCATTCATACGGTGGTTTCATGCTGGGAAAGGGAAGTCTAGAAAAACGAATTCAAAGGACTCTATCCAGAAAGGGAAAAGACAACCCACAGAATTCGAGAAAATACTTGCAAGTCATATTTCTGTTAAGGGACTAGTGTACAGAATATATAAAGAACTCTTATAATTCTACAAAAAAGACAACACAATTTAAAAATGGGCAAAAAAATTCTGAATAGATATGTCTCCAAAGATGATATACAAATGGCCAAAAAGCACATGAACAGATTCTTAACATCATTAGCCATTAGAGAAATGCAAATTAGAACCACATAACATTTCACACAGATAATAGCAATTGTTTTCACGTATATGGAGAAATTGGAACCCTCCTACACTCTGGTGGGAATGTAAAATGGGCGCAGCCACTTTAGAAAACACTCTTGTAAGTTCCTCAAAAGTTTAAAAATAGAATACCATATGACCCACCAATTTTGTTTCTAGACGTATACCCAAGATAAATGAAAACATATGTCCACACAAAATCTTGTACAAAAATGTGCCTAGTGGCATTATTCATAATTCCTAAAAAGTGCAAACAACTTAAACGTCCGTCAGCTGATAAATGGTATATTCATACAGTGAAACATTATCATCAAGAAAAAGAAATTCATCAGGAAAAAGAAACGAATGACTGACACATGCTACCCTACAACATGGATGAACTTCAAAAACATTATGCTAAGTGAAAGAAGTCAATCACAAAAGACCAAACCATTTTAATGGAATGCTCAGAATAGGTATATCTATAGAGACAGAAAGTTGCCTAGGGCTGAAAGAGCTGGGTTGGGATGCAATGGAGGAGTGATTGTTAATGGATACAGGTTTCTTGGGGTAATGAAAATATTCTAAAATTGATTGCTGTGAGGTTGCACAATTCTCTGAATATACTAAAAACTTTAAATTGTTAACAGTGTGGTATATGAATTGTATATTTAAAAAGTTTTTGAAAAAAAAAGTTCTTGTAAAAATGTAAATGTGTACTTTGACTAATGTGTTGTAATTATGTATTTTTCCATTTTGCTACTTGACTTTGTACTTAGTTTATAATATTGCTAACATACAAAATTTTTATCTACTTGAAATTATCATCAATAATTTTCTTTATGGCTTTTTTGTATTGTGTCTTAAAAAGGAATTTCTTAATGCAAGATTGTATTAAAGTTCTCTCCTTTTTTTGTTCTAGTTCTTTTGTGGGTTTTTTTTGTTTGTTTATTTAAATTGTTATTCTATCTGAAAACAAATTTTTTAAAAATCTTTTTTCCGGGGGCTTCTTGGCTGGCTCAGTTGGAAGAGCATCTGACTCTTGATTATTTAAATAAATAAAACTTAAGAAATAAATAAAAATCTTTCTCCCTAATTGGCAGGGCCACCTTTATTGTATACCAACTGTTGACAATTTTTTAGGGCTATTTCTAAAAACTCACCATCTAATCATAAAAGTACTTCACATCCTTTTAATGACTGTCACACCAAATGTGTTTCAATTGTTGGTAAGTATTGTCATAAATTATCTCATCTCTAACATTTCAGAATTTTTATGGCTTTTCTTGAATGCTTTTTTCACTGTAAACTTTTTAATCAGTTAAACTAGTTTCAAAAAATGGATATTGAATATTCTGTTACTTTGTCGGAGTCATATAAAATGTGTAGATTATGGTTTAGAGATCTTTAAAACAGTGAGTATTCATATGCAATAAGAAACTGTCTATTTGCGGCACCTGGGTGGCTCAGTCAGTTGGGTGTCTGACTCTTGGTTTCCGCTCAGGTTGTGCTCTCAGGGCCCTGAGATGGAGCCCTGCATAAGGCTCTGTACTCAGCAGGGATCTGCTTCAGATTCTCTACCTTTCTCTCTCCCTCCCCTCTGTTCCTCCCCCTGCTCATGTTCTCGCTCTCTCTCTCAAATAAATAAATAAATAAATAAATAAATAAATAAATAAATAAATAAAATCTTAAAAAAAAAGAAACTGTTTATTCAAGTCTTTTATGTCTGAGTCTTAAAGTTATCTGCATATAGAATTGACATATTGCTTGTTAAGTTTATTTCTAGGTTCTGTTTATTTTCTTTTGTTTTTGGTGGCTTATAAATGGGATTTCTCCCCATTTTTTCTGTGTAATTATTTGTAAACAGAAAAGCTGTACTTCTATATATTAATTTAATAACTTGATAATCTTTTTCTAGTAATTTTAGTTGATCCTCTTGGATTTTCTAGTTATGAAAATAAAAATTTTGTTTCTTCTGTTTAATTTTTATGTATTTTTCCCTTTTCACTTCTCTAATTGTATTGGCTAGTACTTCCAGAAAAAATAACTTAAAAATTCTAGTGAAGAAAAAAAAATTCTAGTGAAGATGGCCAACCTTTTGTTATACTTTAATGAGAATGCTTTTAGTGTTCATCCAGTAAGCATAATACCAATTTGTTTTTAAGACATATATTTTATTTCTTTAAGGAAGTATACATCTATATCACAATTTCATTAAGAAATTTTAACAGGAATCAAGAGAGTTGCATTTTCTCAAAGTCTTTTTGATGTCAAGAAGCCTGGAGCTATGTCCTTTTCCTTTGACCTTTATCAATTGTAGGCAATAGATAATCACTCCTAGCTAGTTTAAACAGAAAAGGATTTCACACCAGATATTTCATGGCTTTCAAAATCTTTTAAAGAGCTAGAGTTTCTGGTTCTAAGTTGAGATTCCAAGTAAGGCCCCATCCCTTTGTATCATACTTGCTGCCCTCAGCTGGAAAGCAGCTGCCAATGCCATTCAACTGAAGTTTAATCAGGAAGATGGTATCCCCTGGGTCCACAAAATTCTACTTCAAACCATATCACAAAGTGGATCCCCATTCCCTGCCTCTCTTCTTGCTTAACTCAGTTCCAAATTCAGGCCTCAAAATCTCATTTGCGTGCCTGATTGGTGGAAACAAAATCACACCCCGGTTCATAGATTCAAGTGTGCCTGGGAAATGCAGATTTTAGACTCCTAGCCTCCGAAGTACAAGGAAAGCATACCCCAAAGAGGGCTTAAATGGCTATTGAGAGAGGCAGTCTATAAAACCTGCCACACTATTAATATAGTTGAATTATATTAAGAGAGCTTGTAATATCCTAACAGCTTTCTAGAATGAACCCAAGTTCATATTACTTTCTACTGTCCTAGTCAAAGGTATAGGTCGATATTTTGCATTAATATTATTAAATGTGACTTTTTTTCCTTTTTTCTTTACTGTTTTTACTTGGTTTTGTGATCAATGAATTCATAGAGAGTATTTGGAAGCTTTCCTTCTGATATATTCTGAACATTTTAGATAGTTGGAGTTACTTGTTCCTTGAAAGTGTAATGGACTTCACTTGTGAACTGTGTGGCCTCTATCATTTCTACTGAGCAGCTTTGTTATTTTTCTCATTCCATAAATGTTAGACAGTATTCAGTGTCTTTCTTTTGTGGTCAATTTTAGAAATTATTATTTTCCTAGGAAAGAAGGCATCTATTTTTTCCAGGTTGTCAAACTTAATTGCATATATTTGAGCAAACTATGTTATTATTTTAATTTCCTCCCCATCGATAATAATTTCTTCATATGTTTGTCTCTGTGTGTTGTATCTTCTTTTTTCTCAATTAGGTTAGATATGGGCTTAATTATTTTTTTGCTTGCTTGTTTTTTTCAAAGAAGTACCTCTGGAATTGATTTATTAGTTTTTTGTTTTTTTTTTCCAAATTCATTCTTTCTGTTTCTTTAGGTTTTATTTTTTTTTAACGTTTTCTATTTTTGGATGTGTGTTGAATGATTAACTCATTGACTTTCTTTTCTACAACAATTAGCATCTAAATCCACAGATTTTTTTCTCTATATGTTATTATTATTATTTTTTTATATTTTGTGTATTCAAAATGGTTGGGTATTTCAGTTATTTTTTTCCTGAATCAAAATAAAAAATACTGTCCAGGCAAAAGATATTTTCGGTATTTTCTTTTTTTGTTTCCTATTTGTGTTAATTTGTAATCAGATAACTTTATCTTAGTATTTTATCTTTTTATAATAAATTGATATTTTCTTTATGGAATGATATAAAGTAAGATTTTAAAATACTACATAAAAACTTGAAAGAAAGGTATTTTCTTTGTTTTCAGAATATAGAGATTAATATATCTTTTTGATCTGCCCTGTTACCTTATTTAGATTTCCTGTTTGCTCTTTAAAAAAAAAAAATCTATTTGATTCTTTAGTGGCTGAGGGAGGTGAGTTAAAATCTCTCATTGTTATTAATCCTTTATTTTCAATTGCATTTACTAAAGTGTTTATACATTGAAATTCTATTTAATCAGATATATATTCACAATCTTTGTAAATGTTACCATTTATTATTAATGAAGTTATGTGACTCATATATTTTTGCTTCAGTTTCTACCTTGACTAATATTAATATTCTAAACCTTTCTTTATTGCATTTATTTTTTAGATCATTAAGAGTAAAAGTGGTAATTTCATTTTCAACTCTTGTGAGTCACTTGTCTTAATTTTTGCCTCTTTTACACAGGCTACTATTGGGTTTTGCTTTTAGATCCAATCTACTTGTGTTAATAGAGTAATTTATCCTTTTTATATTACTTAGTATGATTGGTATTTTTTGTTGGTCTTAATTTTATTATATGTTCAATTTTCTTGATAAAAGTGAGAGAATATATAAGAACAGTAGATTTAATTACATCTTCATTAAACTGCAAGAACTGATTTTTCATCTTCTTTTTTATTCTGATTACCTTATTTGTCTTTAACTTTCTCAGTCCTTGTTTAATACAGGATAAAACTGGCTTTGAATGTTTGTAAATGGTTTCTCTCATTTTTTTTAATGTTTTACCTTTCATGCACATTTCATTAGGATTAGAGAAGAATCTGATTTCATTTCTCCATTCTAACTCAGAAACCTTATCATTTTTCATGGATGCATAGCGTATCATATCATAGATGTTCTAAATTTGTTAAAATATGCCTAATTTGTCAATATTATAGGTAATGCTAAGTGAAATATCATTGTACCTATATTTTGGTGTAATTATGCAAATATTTCTATAGATTAAAAACCTAGAGGTGTAATTTTGTGACTATTTGTACAAATTTTCACTCTACCAGCAATATATGAGAAAGGTTGTTTCCCTATAGTCTAATCAACAGCGAATATTTTTGATATTTTAAATCATATTTTTTCACTTTGATCAATATAAAAATGACATTTTGTTTCTATCTCTGTTTCTCTATTGGTAGTTTGTGTGTGTGTATTAGTTATGTTGTCTGTTTTTATTTTAATTTTTCTGTGAATTTTTCTTAACTAGAAACAGCCCCAAGAAGGAAGTCTTTGAATGGAAGCACTAAGACTAGAAATGTGGATCTGTGTGTGTACAAGGCCAACAGGATGATGCAGGGACTGAGGGACTGAGTTTTTTACTGCAGTTTCTCCCAGTGCACTGGCTGTACATCAAGTTGGAACTGGGGATGGCAGCTTTCCACCCATGGGACTGCCAGGTAAAGCCTTTGTAATTACTGATGATTGGGCCTGAAAGAGCATAACAGGATTTTGGCTTAGAGCCAGACTTCTCAGTGAAAAATTACATATGTTTTAAGCTAGAGGTATGATTCTGATTTCAAGATACAATACAAAGCTCTAGTAATCAAAACAGTATGATTCTGGCACAAAACTAGACACATAGATCATTGGAACAGAGTAGAGAGCCCAGAAATAAACTCATGATTTTTCTTCAGGCCTATGTTTACTTATTTCTTTTTTTTTTTTTTTGTTCAACTTTTTATTTAAATTACAGTTAGTTAACATACAGTGTAATATTAGTTTCAGGTGTAGAATTTAAGTGATTCATCACTTACATACAACACTGGGTGCTCATCACAAGGGCCCTCCTTAATACCCTTCACCCATTTAGCCCATCCCCCCCACCTCCCCTCTGGTTACCATCAGTTTGTTCTCTATAGTTAGGAGTCTGTTTCTTGGTTTGCCTCTCTTCTCCCGCTATGTTCATTTGTTTTGTTTCTTATATTCCATATATGAGTGAAATCATATGGTATTTGTCTTTCTCTAACTGACTTATTTCACTTAGCATAATACTGTCTATCTCCATCCACGTCATTGCAATTGGCAAGATTTCTTTTTTTTTTTAAGATTTTATTTATCCATTTGACAGAGAGAGAGAGATAGTTAGAGAGAGCACAAGCAGGGCGAGTGGCAGGCAGAGGGAGAGGGAGAAGCAGGCTGCCCACCAAGCAAGGAGCCCGATACAAGCTTCAATCCCAGGATCCTGGGATCATAACCTGAGCCAAAGGCAGCTGCTTAACCAACTGAGCCACCCAGGTGCCCCAGCAAGGTTTCATTCTTTTTGCTGGCTGAGTAATATTCCTGTGGGGTGTGTGTGTGTGTGTGTGTGTGTGTGTGTGTGTGTGTGCGCGCGCGCGTGCACATGTCACATCTTCTTTATCCATTCATCAGTTGATGGACATTTGGGCTCTTTCCATTATTTGGCTATTATTGATAATGCTGCTATAAACATTGGGGTACATGTATCCCTTCAAATCAGTATTTTTTTATCCTTTGGGTAAATACCTAGTAGTGCAATTGCTGGATCATAGTGTTGTTCTATTTTTGACTTTTTGAGGAACTTCCATATTATTTTCCAGAATGGCTGCACCAGTTTGCATTCCCATCAGCACTGTAAGAGGGTTCCCCTTTCTCTATATCCTCACCAGCACCTGTTGTTTCCTGTTAAACCCGTGATTTTATGGTCAATTAATCTATGACAAAGGAGGTAAGAATATACAATGGGGAAAAGATAGTCTCTTCAATAAATGGTGCTGGGGAAACTGGCCAGTTACATGTAACAGAATGAAACTTTTATACCTTCTAATCACCTTTTAACACTATAGACACAAATAAACTCAAAATGGATTAGAGACCTGAAACTGTAAAATTCTTAGAAGAGAATACAGGTAGTAATTTCTCTGACATTGACTGTAGAAACATTTTTCTAGATGTTGTCTCCTAAGGCAAGGGAAACAAAAGCAAAAATAAACTATTGGGAATACATCAAAATAAAAAGTTTTTGCACAGCAAAGGAAACCATCAACAAGATGAAAAGGCAACCTAAGGAATGGGAGAAGATATATACAAATGATATATCCAATAACGGGTTAATATCCAAAATATATAAAGAACTTCTACAACTCAACATCAAAACAAACAATCCAATTAAAAAAATGGGCAGAGGACCTGAATAGACATTTTTCCAAAGAAGACATGTAGATGGCCAACAGACAATGAAAGGGAAAGGAGGGGCAGAGGGAGAAATGGGGGGGGGGGCAGAGGGGGAGAATTTTCAAGCAGACTGCCTGCTGAGTACAGAGCCCAATGCAGGGCTCAATCCCAGGACCCATGAGATCATGACCTGAGCCTAAAATGAGTTGGAGGCTTAACTGACTGAGCCACAGAGGTGCCCCAAGAGATTGTTTTATCATATGTAAAAATACCAACTAAAACTAGGAAATAAAAATACAGTGGTGAATGCCCCAAGAAGGAGATACCTCAGGGCAATGAATAGAATGATACCAGCAAGGAATACCATCTTCTTTATCATATCACTCCAGTAGCTGCCAATATACTAGAAAGTTGTGAACCACCACAGAAGGAGCCTACTATTTTAGCAGCTGTCAGACATGTTTCAAGAGACTTGGCATAAAGGGTTAATTAAAAAACAAAACAAAAGAATCACACCTATACTAGAGGGTAAAAAAAAAATCTTAAGAAATTCACCAACTAGAGGCAAAGCAAGAAGGAGATGGAGGGGCTCCTTAGAAGCAATGTGGGCAGTCTCAGGGGATTTATCACTGTTTCTTACTTTATCCAGTGGTCCCGTCCACAAAGTTCTGCTGGGTGGTGGGCCTGTTCTTTGAAACTGAAGTAGAGGGAGCCTTGCTCTCTAGGACCTGTGCACTCTAGGCCTATGGTAGAAGTAGCAGCTTTGATAATCTTTGAATCACCTTTTTTTTTTTTTTCAAGTAAGCTTTACACCCAACATGGGGCTTGAACTCATGACCCTGAGATCAAGAGTTGCATGCTCTACCAGCTGAGCCAGCCAGGCACCCCTTTTCCCTTTTCTTAAAGATAGCTACATTCTATCTAGATGGCTACATTCTCCTCTGTCCCTGCCATGGGAGGACACAGGGGAAGGCAACATCTACAAGCCAGGAAGAAAGCCATCACCAGAAACAGCCATGCTGGCGCCTTTCAGTTTCCAGAACTAAGAAAATAATTCTCTGTTGTTTAAGCTACCTTGTCTGGTATTTTGCTATTGGAGCCTAAACAGATTAAGACAGCCTGATAGAAATCTTTTCTCTGATGTAATTTTCACTCTGCTGAACTTTATTAATTACTTAGAATTATTATAACATTGGTATAATTTTAGCTTCCTTGCATATCCTCAAATGTTGTCTTTTGTCTTGTGTTAGAATGAAAAATTGCTAGGAAGTTATTCTTGGATTATGGTGATTTTCTGTGAAAATCTGGGTTTGTTTTGTTTTTGTTTTAGCTTACATGAGAAACTTTTATTCTCTTTATTCTGTATCTAATCTATTCTCTCTATAGCCTTATAAAATTTTCTCTTTATCTCTGTTATTCAGAAAATTTTCTAGCTACCTCTTTGTGAGTTAATCCTATTTTAAACTCAGTGAGACTTTCTCTTTAAAAATTTAAATCTTTCTATCATTTGGGGAAATTTTCTTCCATTATCTGTTAGATTATTTCTTCTTGCCCAGCTATCCCTCTCTCTTTTTAGGAAGCCCTGGATTAGTTCCATATCACTTATCTTTTCATTTGTGCCTTCTATTATTTTTGCTCTATATCTTCCTTTGATCTTCCCAGGACATAATTTGGTTTACAGCAGTTTTGAGTTTCATTATTAAAACTTCAAGTTTTTGAAACTATATTTTCTATTTCCTAAAACTCTATTTGTCTTGTAGTTCTCTGTGCCATTGTGCTGTGGTGTAAAACCTTAAGAATTTACATTAGAGCTCATTCAAGATTGTGTTCTATTTTTCCAACTAAATATGTACTCAATGAAAACGACTTTTTTCAATACCTGGCTTGGTATAACTCCTTAAAATAGTGTGTTCTTATGATCTGTGATCTTTCTCTGTCTATTCATGTGTTTGGGTGAGGGTTCCTTCACATGTATTGCAGTCACTGTTTCAGGTTTTCTAGGGAACCTGACTTGAAATTATTAGAGATACAGTTTGTATTTCTTTGCTACTTGGCAAGCAACAACTGTGCCGGCTCAGCTGAAATTAGATGTTTAGGATTTTTGCTTTGCATGCCTTTTAGCATAAGTGGGTGAGAGATAGCCTTCTCCCAACTGCACTGAAAGAGAGCAATTGATTTCAACAGTCAGTTTCTACTAAAATGTGGTTAACTATATCCTAATTATTGGAATTTTATCACTACTACACATATAGGGCAAAGTCCTTTAAAGGCCCTACTCATTGAAGAGAAAATGGTGTACCCTCTGTCCACCCCCACACTAAATGTAATCCACAATAAAAAATAATATGTGAGAAAACCCAACCATGTTATGATTGTCACATTACATTTTAAAATATATCATCAATACTATTATGTTTTAATTTTCCCATAGTCCCTGCTTTATTATTGCCATAATCACTTGCTTGTCTGATTGAGGAATAATCCAATACCATATACATTGTGAGCAGGCTGGGTGGTTCATCTATATGTGTTAAAGGAATCCATATACCATTCTGAGCTGGAATGCACTTGTGACTGTAAAATCAGAAGTCTTTGTTCAGATGCTTTCAGGAAGGAAGATCTCCTCCCAGGCCTCTGGACCTGAGTCCTCCTGTGGGCCGGGGCATTCTGTGGACAGGAATATTCTGATGCTGACATCATGTTGGCATTGACTGACCTATTTTCTCTGGAATGGAAGCTTTATATGTGTTTGGGAGCCCCATCATTTTCCAGGAATAGGTTTTACTCAAAATACAAGTTGAGCTGTCTCTGACCAAAATAGGGAGAGAAAGGAAGTCATAGATGTGTGCTTAGGCAGCATTTCCCAAGGATTTCTTTTCTTTTCTTTTCTTTTTTTTTTTTTTTTTAAGATTTTATTTATTTATTTGTCAGAGAGAGAGAGAGCACAAGTAGGGGGAGCAGCAGGCAGAAGGAGAAGCAGGCTTCCTGCTGAGCAAGGAGCCTGATGCGGGACTTGATCCCAGGACCCTGGGATCATGACCAGAGCCAAAGGCAGATGCTTAATTGACTGAGCCACACAGGCATCCCCCAAGGATTTCTGAAAACATACTTTTGAGTGTAATTTTTAGAAGATAACATCATTCATTTTCCATAAAATAAGATGAACAAGTCTCCTTTCTAATTTGACAATTGCTGTCCACAGAATGTTTCAACAGTACTTGAATTCTTTTCTTTATTGAAAAAAAATTCACCTTGAGAACTAGAG